CTCCAACCCCTGAACTGGGGCCAGGATTCGCAGGGGATATCCTGGTGAATATACTGCTGTCTTAGAAGCCGTGAGACCAGAGCAGACACAGGTGTTAAGTAGGAGCTGGCCCCCACATTCTTTCGGGAGGTCCACGCGCACCAGACCTCCGCAATCTAACCCTGGTGGCAGCCATTACCATGGCCGTCACACCCAGGAACCTTGTTTTAAGTCTCTCTCTCTCCTACTCCAAGGCTTCCCTGGGGGCTGCAGTTGGAGTGGGGGGGTGGAGGAAGGGGTGGGGGGACTGCAGAGTCCCCCAGATTGGAAGGGTAGAATGCATGCCTAGGGCATGACAACCAGCACTTTCCTTTCCTGGAGGCTTTAGTGGAAGCTGATGGCATTTAACCCTTTCAGACCCGCCCCCCCACACCCCCGACCCTGGGGTTGACCATACCCCCACAAAGTGGACCTCTTGGGAGCTCTTAAACAGAGGTGTGTGTGTGTGTGTGTGTGTGTGTGTGTGTGTGTGTGTGTGTTGGGAGCGGGTTCATCCTGGGTTACCCTCCCCAGCACTGGTGTCAAAGCTTCCTGACTGTCTGAAGGGATGGGAAAGAGAGCTCTCTGTCACCTCCATGCCTTTTCAAATGCTGTTCCCTCTGGTTGGAATTACCATCCTTCTGCCCCCCCACTCCGCCATCTGCTAAAGTGCCATTTGCTCTGGGAAGGTGTCCTCAAGAGCCCCACCTCCAGTCAGAGATGGACACCACCCCCACCAAGCCCCTCACCATTTTCTGCAGTTCCCTATTAAAACACATGTCACCTGACAAGCCGTCTGCTTTCTCACCCAGCCCCTCTCCATGCTCTAGGCTTTGAGCTTCCTTTCGGAGCCCGGAGCCCGACTCGGAGCCTGATGCTAGAAGATCATGTTTTAACGTTCCTCGTGTAGGAAAGAACAAACCTGTTAAGACGAAAGCAGCAGAGACATCTCAGGCCTTTGCCGCAGAGGACCAAGCTGTGTGGTCCCACCCACCAATTCTCCAAGGCCTCCCCGGTGCCCCACTCAATCCACAAAACACCGAGTCCCAGAGAAATCCCCTTCTTGCCAATTGCCTTTTCCCACAGCAATTATCCTGTGGAGCCCTCAGCGGGGGAAATCTGAGAGTTGAAACTCCCTCCTGTAAGCCCCCAGGGGAGGTGAGACCCTGGGTCTCTAGCCCCTATAACTAGACCCCAGGGAGCCGAAGGAGCCCTCAGATGCCTGCCTGCCACATATGGCTCTCGCTGGGAGAAGGCAGCTAGCTTCTCTCCCCAGAGGGCAGGCCCCAGCAGGAAACCCAGGGTCAAGGCTGGGGCACAGGTCTGCTCCCCCTGCACACTGCTCCCTGCTCTCTCTGGCCCTGCCCCATGTCAATGTTCAGCCAAAGTCACTTTCTGTAATCTGACCTTGTCCCTGCCATCTCCACCCCTCTCTGCCCTGTAGTGTTACAGGCTCCCTCCTTGTTCCCCATCCCTCCCTGCCCCTGGATTCTCTGTTTGTAAACATGACAGAGTGTTCTGGAGTACAATGACCCCGAAGGCAACCCCAGTGACTGAGGGCCCTTGAGGACATGGCAGCAGGGGCTGGCTAAAGCTCCCAGTCTCTAGCCCGACTGGGCAGATCCTGGAGTGAACTGGAGGGCCAATTCCAGCCGACAAACATTATCAAGGCCCACCCTGGGCCCCGCCTTGTTCTAGGTCCTGGAGGGATACAGACAGCCCGGCCCAGCCCCTGAGGGGAAGCAGGCTGAGAACCCACAATTACAATCTGTTGACGAGAAGACATCTAGTGAATGGGTAAAGGCAGACGGAGTGAGGGGAGGGGGCAGAGAAGAAATCAGGGTGGCCAGCCCTCCTATGGCCACATCACCCCAGGAGCAGGACTCTGAAGGGTAGCTTCCAACAAGGGAGCAAGTGAAGGGAACCAGCATGTAATCCAGCTTCACTATTCCTGAGCCAAACTGCCATTTTCACTCACTCAATTCACAAACAGGGGGCGCAGGAGAGCCCCCAGGTGACCGGGGTGGGAGGGCCAAGGCCTGTGCAGCAGCACCATCCTGCGTACCAATTCCTGATTTCAGCAAAGCCCCCGAGAACAAAACCAAAATACTGTGCATTGTGACAAAGAGGAGGAGAAGGGACTGAGGGACAGAAGGATCCAGGGATGCAGAATGAGAGCAAGACATGGGGCCCAGGAGGGAAGGGACAGTAGCAAACAGCAGAGTTGGCTGTGGATATCTGTGCATGCAGTCGGAGCTAAAGATATGCAGGTGTTAAGGGTCACGCATGCCCAGAAACAGGCCCTACTCCAACCCTTCCCATGGGAGACACTGCTTACCTGCCTGCCCACTCTGTGTACCAGGGGGACTGACTCAATGGACTCTTGGTCCAGCATCGAATTAGCTTCTTATAATGGTACCTAAAGGGGCTCCCACCCTGGACTTCATTTATTTATATCAAGCTGAATGGTTTCTGAAAACTTATTTGAAAGTCAAATTCAAACGACTGAAAGTCAAATAATACATTTGTGTATTATGGATGGGGTTGTACTCAGAAAGTTAAAATATATCAGCTCCTTCAGGGATTGAGAACGCTCCGGGGTTCCATGCAAAACAAATAGGAACTGAGAACATCCCAGTAAAGCGAAAGGTCATGGCTTCCTTAACTATGTTGAAACCCAGAAATCCAGGAGCCATGCCTTTCCAGAAGCCCTGCACCCTCAGGATCCCCCATATTGAACACACCCCTCTAGACAAGGAGTTGGCAAGCTAGGCCCGGCCAGCCGAATCCAGCCCACTACCACCTGTTTTGTAAGGCCTGTGAGCTAAGAGCGTTTTTACATTTTTAAATGGTTGGAAAAAAACAAAGGAAGAATTACATTTTGTGACACATGAAAATTACATGAATTCAAATTTCAGCATCCATAAATAAATTGTATTGGAGCACAACCACATTCGTTCATGTCTATGTTGTCCGTGGTTGCTTTCCCACTACAATGAAGAGTTAGGGAGTTGCAACAGAGACCAGACGACCTGAAAACCTAAAATATTTACTATCTGGCCCTTCACAGACCTGCCATAGACCAAAGTCCAGAAAGAGAATTTAGACCCACGTGTCTGACTGCTCTGCTTCTCTTCCCCTCCTCCCCTCCTCCTTCCTTCTCTCACTTTCCCTCTCCTTCTTCCTCCCATAATCAACTGGGACCAAGAAGTGGGCATATATTTATTTCCTTTACTTAAGATCTTCCCCCTTTGTGACTCTAGCCTCCCAAGTAAGCCTTAGGGACAAGCGTGGGTACCCTCCCTAGGCTAGAGCTGTCAAAGGAGGGCCTTAAATGGGCTACAGATGTGCCACTAAGTGGTGTGATGATGCCCTCAGCCCTCAGGTGAGGGGCAGCTGGAGTGCATGCGCTGGTCCCTCCTGGGCAGAGCCTCGCCTACAGGCCAGCCCCCTTGAACAGCAAGGACAATGACCTTCCCCCAAGTGGTGATCAAGGCCTCCACCACCTGGACATATCCTTTGGCAGTCAGCTGCAGAGGGTGCCTCTGCCTGCTGTGGACAAGGAGGAGTGTGTGTCCCATGTGCCCAGGGAGCGCAGAGGCTAAAAGGGGTGGGGCACGGGCAGGGAGAGAGGGGGTGCTCCTGGTGGGCACAGCATCGTGGCAGCCCTGAATCTCTTCATGCATATATACAGAAACTACGTCATATATTGTCCAAACTGGTACACTTTGTTCTTTTTAAATCAACTTTAATGAGGCTTAATTTACATACAATAATATGCACCCATTTTAAATATTCAGTGCTATAGTTTTGACAAACGTGATTGTGAGTGACCCACAGTGTAACCACAACCACAATCAAGATAGAAAACTTGCCGTTCCCCCTCAAAAGCTCCTAGGCACCCCTTTGAGGTCATCCCTCTCTCCCCACCCACCGCTGCCCCAGACAACTACTCATCTGCTTTCTATCACTACAAATTAGTTGTGTCTGTTCTAGAATTTCAAATAAATGAAATCAATCAGACAGCATGTACTTTTTGAGTCTGGCTTCTTTCACTCAGGATGTTTTCGAGATTCATCCGTGTTATGCGTATCAACACCAAACTGACACGTTTGTTTTTTCTTTGGATCGAAAGGAGGTGCTATGAATAGTCACATCAGGTCAGAAGGCATAAACCAGACCCCTTCAGGACAGATCATGGCAATGGTCACTCTGTGTATACGACCTGTTTCTGACTTTTGCAGCAGCCGAGCTTCCCCCCAACCCCCAAAGCCCCAGCAGATAGTTGTATGTCATAGCTGCACATCCTTCCAGCCGCTGCATGTGGGACGCGGCCTCAGCATGGCCGGAGAAGCGGTGCGTTGGTGCGGGCCCGGGATCCGAACCCGGGCCGCCAGCAGCGGAGCGCACGCACCCAACCGCTAAGCCACGGGGCCGGCCCCAGCCGAGCTTTTTAAGTGACATCTAAGCTGGCTGCAGGGTGACTGCTTTAAAAATGCGTGTGTATTCTGCAAAGCGGGCTTCATCGTTATTTCAGTCCACTCAAATCGGAAAGGTGCTAAATCCAACGCCTTATCGCAAGCAATTTCAACATTGCATTTGTCAATGGAAGAAAGAAAAACCTTATATATAACTTCAAGTGCTATAAATTTTTGAGTGGTTCTAAAGTTGTTTTTAATTTTTACCACCAATTTGTACAAACAAAATTTCTTGTCAATGATGATTATCAAGAACTTGAAGAAATCATTAAAAATCTTGATCAGAAATTTCATGTTGCTATTTTCAACCTGCAATCAGGTATAAAAAGATATGTTAACGGAAGCAAGCTCATATTTAACAATAAAATGTTTGAAACGATTTTATTTAGAGTTTTACACAAATTCAATATTAATATTTTACTTTATAATTACATAACTATAATTACATAACATGAAAAAATGTTGGGAATTTTTTCACTAAGCCCCATCCAGGTGTCCCCAAACTCCCTTCAGTCTTCCCTAGTGTGCCATACGCCTTCTCGTTTTCTGTGCATGCTGTGAACGGGGAAAGATTAGGCAGCACAGCCCCAGACTATGGAGAAGCAGTGGCCCAGGGCTGGGAAGCCTGTTGTCCTGCTAAAGAAGTCTCTTCTGCCCTCTAGTGATAATCTTTATAGCTGGATCTGTAGGGAAAACAGTGACTACAGCGCAATTAAGCATATCAGTTTTATATTTGCAAAAATATGATCCTTATTACACAGGCATTATGGCTGCCTTGGGTCCTGGCAGGAGAGAGCCTTCACAGGCATCCCCCTGATGCTCCACGGGGCCTGGGAAGGTCCAGCCTGGGCTCCTCCTCTTGAGTCCATCACCCCACTCTGTCCTCATCTTCTCCACTACTACAGCATGAGCAAAGTCTCCATCATCCACGGCCAGGAGACCACCGTTGCCATCACCTAGAACCACCAGCCACTGACCCCTTTCCCCACCCCTACCAGACGCAAAGGCCACAGGAGGGGAGAGGGGAGAAGGAAGCACCCACCCTGTTCAGCAAGCTGATATCAACCGGCAAGCTCCTGGCCCCAGGAATCCAGGGGATTTGGGGGTCAGCTTGGCACATTGAGGGAAAAGGGGCCAGCTCCACCATAAACACTTCCTAGACCCCCACCCCATCATCTAGGTAGAGATCCAACCTTTTATCCCCAAAGAGCAGCACGTAACAAGTGGCCCCCAAGCAAGAACACAAAATCGTCATCCATCAGCTGATAGATAAGGTACCAGTTTGAAGGTATCAATGTATACTTACATAGGTGAAAGTTATATGAAAATCAGAACATATAAAAGTTGAGGATCATTTATGCAGGCATCAAAAACTTTGTTTAAGGACAACTGAGTTCTTATCCGAAATAGGAATTATAGATCATGTACTATTGAGGTAATTTCAGTTCTCCTCTGAGTCCAAATCCAGCAAACTACAAATTCTATGTAGTATGTCCTAGGGTTCATTTCTATCCCATCTTCATCCTGGTCTGCCACATTTGGGAACCTCTGCAGGCCAGAGGCCCTGGCTCCCTGTCTAGCCCCTACTTTTCCAGGTCAAATCCAGAAATCTGTTTTAGGAGGGCTGTCAGAAGGTTAAATCATAACAAGGAAGTGTGGCAACAGTCATGAATGACTACTGTGATGAAGGACATCAGAGGGACACAGGATTTCTCTCCCAGCCTTTTCTTCTAAGTGGGACCTTAGAAGCACTCACCCCCTCCCCAAGTCTGCTTGCCAGGAGATTAAGTCCCAGTCTTGGTATCCAATTAATCCCTTTTCTCTGGACTATGTGAGTGGACTTACATTGGGTTGGAGAGGTTCACAGTAATCAGCCCCGCCTCTTCCTAGTCACCGATACATGTGATACACGAGGCAGGTGCAGTGGTGTCCAGGTGGACAGGATCTGGGCATGCCTCATTTGAAGCCATAAAGTGGCTCTCCTGGGCCCCCCAGGCTGCCAGTCTCTGCATCAGTGAGGCCCCCACTAGCCCCTGAACAAGACAGCAGTCATCAGCAGATGAGCTCCGCTGAGTCACTGTGACACTGAGTTCCGATGGTCTCTTGAGAAATCTTCCCCTATCACATTGGTCTATCTGAAGAAGAATTTTATCATGGGCTCTGGATTGGGTGGGACACTTTTGGTTGCAAGTGGTTAAATACACACACACACACACACACACACACACACACACAATTCTAACCGGCGCAAGTAAAAAAAAAAGGCCTATGAAACTAAAAAGTCCCAGGGATGGCTAGCTCCAGGCAAGGCTTCATATGGGGCTTATATGATGGCATCACCCAGTCTAGCTCTGCCTCCTCTCTGCTGTCATCCTGTGGCTTCCATCTCAAATTTCAAATCTAAGGAAAAATGACTACCAGCAACTCTAACTTTCATCTTCCAGATACAAGTCCAGGCTGAAAAGAACAAGTCTTTTCCCCAAAGTTCCTACTCAAGTCGTGGAATTCACTCTGACAGATGTACCAGTCCCTGAACTGAGCACTGTAGTCACAAGAAATGGAACAGGACACATGCCCACTCTGGGCTGTACACCAAGGCAGCAGCAAACCCAGGTCCCTGCTTCTGAGTCAAACCAACCTGCCCATGGCCACTTCCAGGTCTCTCCTAGTCTTGGCTCCTCCAGAACTCTTTGTCTTCCCATCTTTCCTTCTCTTCCCTGGGCTGTCCACCCTGGACCTACCCCGTGGAGCCTTTCCAGGTCAGCCGGCCCTCCCTGGTTCTCATTATAACCTGCTTCACTGTGCTGCCTCCCCCATCCCCAAGTTTAGGCCTGAGCTCAGGGACTGGGAGAGCTTCTTCCAAACCCTTGGGTCCTTTAGCAACAGGCAGCCAGAATCCCCAGGAAATTCTGAGCAAGACAGAGCTGCTCTGTGCTCAGGTGCCCTGAGTGTGCCTCTGTAGCCTGCCTGGTGGAGACCAGCTAGGCTCCAGGTGTGGTGAAGGGCTGGGAAATCAGGGCAGAATAAGAGCAGTCCAGGAAGCAAAACCTCTCACCCGGCTCCCGCTTAGATGGCTCAGACTGTGAAGGGCCTTAAATGCCAAGCTGAGGGGCTGGGCCTCTATCCAATAGTCCCAGGAGATGGAGAGCAGTCAAAAGGCCTGTTGGATGGGGGCCGGCCCAGTGGCGCAAGCGGGTAAGTGCACGCGCTCTGCTTCGGCGGCCCGGGGTTCGCAGGTTCGGATCCCAGGTGCCCACCAACGCACCGCTTGGTAAGCCATGTTGTGGCGGCATCCCATATAAAGTAGAGGAAGATGGGCACAGATGTTAGCTCAGGGCCACT